CCACGCCGGTATTTGCTTTCACTGAGATCATTGGACTAGCATTCTCGTCTCCAGTTTCTGTACTAATGACTCCGTGTAGACACTTTTAGGGACCATAGCAACAGATTGTTTGAGAGAAACAACGTGACGTCCACTTACCATAGAAGCAATATCCAATGCGAGAATAAATAATGGATCTGTATCTTCCAAGGGAACTATACATACCACGTGACAGAGGTCATCAAACATACGGGCTATGACGTCACCTGATAAACACTGTGAAACGTGAAACCACAAAAACACTGATTAGAAAAGGCACGTTCAGTTGGTCAACCCTCGGGAGGCTTTCCTTATTATTGTTTAATAATCGCTGATAAAAATGGATAGATGCGTAACGTATTGCTACCCCAGTGGGATCAATCTCCTTAGMGTTGGTCGTACGTGACCTTGCCCACCTTATCAAGACCAGGATCAGTGAGGAGTACTTGACACATTTGTTTGATTGTAGATACGTAGAGTTTGATCACGTTGCCTAACATGACTGTGTTTGGCTTCAGTAGGAGCTTGAAGACTTGATGTAGTATGCTTGACATAACGACAATACCATTAAGGTTGGCGGGAAGGTCTAGATGATGTGAAGAGGCACTGTTAGACACTCATTAACACTCAACTTACAGTTAATAGAAAGGAATGTCTAGGGATTATAAACTGTCTATGAAGACACAGAACGTTTCCAGGGGCAGTTCTAGGGTAGGGTCTTAGGCAAGGAGGTTCACCAGATACGAGTGAAAAGGAATGAAAGGAATGTGTTCTTAATAATACTCTATCGTGCACATTCAAGGCGTTCTCGTTCAGGAATGGGAAGAATGTCAAGGTGGTGGTGCATGGGCCCCAGGATTTTAATCCATAGTTTAATTCTGTTTTATTAAAGCAAAACAGAATAAAGCTTATTCATTGTGTTGGGATTTTCCCCCGTTAAAAATCACGTGTCATTCCCTAGAGAATAAGATTATTTTTCAGTCGAATGAAATCCATATTCATGTGTCTTCTCATGCGTAACCGTTTACAAAGTAATAATACTCTAGAGAATGACATGTGGTCTGTGATGGGAAATATTCCATCATGACGAATAAGGTGAGTTACATACCAGGCAACGATGAGAGCGGAGTCTTGTCGTGAACAGAGAAGAGCTGCAGTGAGATAACGGAAAAAAACATGACTCAACTAGCTTCCTACAAGTTTCACATGTGAAAGCAGGTTAATATAAGTATTCCATGTACCTCTAAAGATATTTGGACCTTTCGAATCAGGATCGTACATAGAGAGACGATCCTGCTCATCTCTGACCACGTGATGAACGTCATTACCTGCACAACAAAAAAATAAAATAAACAAAAGCAAAACAAACAAACAAATAAATTAATAAATCGTCCTTGTTTTACGAGGGTAGCACTTAATAGCCAGTGGCTAACGAATGTGTGGCCCTCGTTCCATGATCGAATTAGAAGTTGATTTTTGTGGAGGGAGAAAAACTTGAGAATGACAGGAAAGCTCCTGAAGCACATGACGGAAACAACAAGCAACTGCAGCGGGAACTGTATTCGCATATGATGGCAAGTCCAGGGATGAAACCCAGTAGCACATTAAAAAAGAATCAATCATTAACAACTTATTAACCTGGCTTAGTTTTCTAATGACTTGTTCTTTTAAGCTGATATCCACTGACGACCAACTTTTTTTCTCAAGTGCATCGATCATTTGGGATGAGATTGTATCTGATRTAACACAGCATTCAAACAGACAATCAACCACATCTGAAACGTTAAGAAAGAAAACAATAAGAGAGCAGGCAGAAGAATTAATAATGAAATGATTCATAGTTAAAAAAATAGCAATAAAAGGATAATATTAATAAGGAAAACAAGATTTATGGGAAAGTAAAAACCAACGTACACAGTTTACACAAAATAAGACTGCTTAAAAATGACTCATTGACTCCGACGAAGGACTAACGTCCGAAACGTCAGTTACTATTTTCACTACGGTGTATAACTTATCATTCTACGATAACTGCTTAAAAATGAGAAAGCTTAACTTCACAATTTTGATGCTCTCCAAGGACAGGACTCACTTCACTTGTATTRACAAGAGCTTCCTAAATATCGATTGGCTCCCACAACACAATGCTTGGGACTCTATTTTAAGCAGTAATATAGGTCCTATGAGCAATCCTTGCGCATTCCCTGCAATGTTTTCTAAATAATGYGTGCTTTCATTTAGCCAGGACTTACTATAATCAGACCCATTCACACATGGAGTCCAGGATTCAGTTGGTAGATCACAGAATTCTATAACACACTTTGGGATGGAATACTGACGTTTGGTAGGCAAGAGTTCAAGTAGAGGTTTGACATAAAGAACTGCTGTCCAGCCTGAAACAATGAGAAACAAAAATATATTATTATCTCTCTGTTAAAAAATAACGCCCTCGTTTTGTTGGTTTGATGTGCCAGTGGCTAAAAGGCATTTAGTTCTACTGTTGTTTCATGAATGAATTGGAAGTTCGAAGTTGAATTTCGTGGAGAGAGAATAACTGAATAATAACGCTTTTTGAAGCTACAAGAATCTCTATGAGAATCTCTACAAGAATCTGTAAAAGAATCTCTACTCACTTATGATGGCCCAAGATCACAGCCACAAGAGGTGGCCCATTAGCAGCACACACCACTCATGCTTAATTCTTTGCACCCATTTACCATCAAAAGTGGTAGGGTAGCATTTGGCTTAAGGCTCAATTAACCGCACTGCTCTTATTTGTTGCTATCGCTCATCTATCATAAAGGCCATGGTAAGGGCTATGGCTAAATTTCCCCCTCCCCCCTCCCCCTCAATTTTATATGATTTGATCTTTTACCTATAGTAAGTAACTTGTTATGTAACCACTCCAAAGGGTGAATGAGTCCTGTAGGTGTACGTTGAAACATACTGTGCATTACATGAATTGATTCTTCAAGGTTGACAAGCACTAGGCTTCTTARCTCCACTACATTCATTGGATTAGAACCCATCTCTTCCCAGTCTACCTTGCAGTCACTAAGCAGTCTACAGAGTGCAAGCACTATTGGAATAAGGTATCTCAAGACAAATGCTTTTTCTGTCTGATTCTTGAGATCAATAGTATTCATTGTTGTCTTCAAGAGCTTAAGAGCAGTCTTCGTAGGTAYTGGCTTCTTGTTTCCATGGAGATTCATGAAAGGGAGAATACAAGAAGTGTAGAGATTGGACTTTTCCAATAGAGGTTGACTTGTTCCTGGTAAGTGGGCATTTCTGTACCTCTAAAGACACAAGTTTGATAATACTTTAAATACTGTAATAAAAAGAGTCCTAGGTGTACTAAAATGTATTGAATTTCATGTATATAAAACTAAAAAATCATTACAAAAACTTATCAACGGAAAGACTGGTATTTTCCTCAAAAAGTGTGAAAATTGCTGTATAATTTGACTCCTGTTACTCTGACTATTCTTTACCTGTAGCAGCATCTGTACGAGTTTCATCAAGTTATTTTCTTCTTGTTTGCTTGGTAGTTCTGTTGCTATCGATGCTAATATTTCACACAACAATGGGATGGTTGTACCATTTGAACACAGAAAACAAAGAACTGGTATCTCTTGAAATATCTGATGAGGAAACAGAAAAAATAAATCATGAATTGTTGACTTATATAAAAACCATACAAATTCATTGTAGTTCTCAGTACAATTTTCTTGCACTCTTTTGCAAAGCAGGTTGTATGCTCAGTATGCATCAGCAACCATGCTCAGGTCACTAATAAAGCACAGTTCTCAACCAATCAGAGCATATATATTATCTAAGCTACATATATGAATAATATGACTAATTTWAGAGTGATTTTAATGTTTCAGTGACCTCAAAAACTTCCAGGTATCTGGGAATTTTTTTTCTTACATTAATTCAAAAAAATACTACAGTAAATTAAACTATTGACTGTTGGTGGACCAAACTCCTGCCATATACACACAAAATGGAGCTATCTGGGCGCTTATAATATGGGAAGTACTTTAAATATCAACTTCTAGATTCTAATTCGATCTCTGGGCTTTAACTTAGCTTGGAGCCTAGCTCTGTTGTGATTGTCCCACGCTGTGACACAACAGTGAAAAGCTTTGTAGATATTCCAATAGTAAATAAGTATCAGAATTACCTTCACAATAGTTGTTGTCTGTCCATATTGAACACCTAGTTGCARTGCCTTATAGAGTGTAATATATGGAGACAAAAAAGACAATTGCTTGATACTTCTCACTTGTCTCTTGAAAGCAGACACTAAACTGCTGTCAACAAGTTTGTTGAATAGAACTTGTAGATCATCCTGCAGCTTTTTCTTATCTTTCTGAAGTTGAGTTGGATGGAAGAAAACAGAGTCACAAGTGACATCAAGAGCAGACACTAATGACATTGAGAATGCATATTTTATGAGCTCTTCCTGGTCTGGCATGGACAGATCATTGAACAGGGCAATAACCAGCTAGAAAAAAATTAAAACATTTTTAATAGTACACTATGATTATAAATCACAAACGATAAGGCCACAAAATAGTTTGTTTCCTGTTGCATGAGCAAAATAATTGGGGTCGGTAGGTCGGATTATTTTTACTGATACAAGAGTGGAAATGAGCTTACTGGGAACCCTGTGGTGCATTTGGGAATGAAAAAATYTCTAGGGTCRGCAAAAATCAGCAAGAAAATTAGGGATGGTTGCACCACAGGAAACACTTATTTTTTTTGTTTGGCCTAATATAGTTTCCTAATCTAGCCCATTTCCAAGATAAGCTTTGCTTGCCATGCAAAAAGATTTCAGYATATGGTTGTGTGATAAATTAAATTTATTCTTTTTCTCTTTTTAACGAATCACTCAGCATCATGCATGAAGCCTCACAATGAAACCTTTGTGTGTGCACGCAAAACATATCTCGGCAGTGAGCAATATTATTTATTGCTAAAAACGCTATTCATGAACAGTTAACTTGACATTGTTAGGCTGCATGGAACTGACAATACTATGCTGAGTTTTATGGAAGGCAAAAAAACCCCCAGAGAACCCGAAGAAAGCCCTTGCATCATAGTAGGATTCTAACAGCACTTCAAAGAAACTCCATTCACATATGACACCCCTAGTGCGCTCTACAGAACCATGTCATACCTCTTTAATGATATCAAAACCACCATTATCATATTCAGGTGCACTTTCAATGATTTGCCTCTGGACACAAAGAATATCAACCATCATTATTGCCTGATCTTTATGTCCCATCTTTACAACATTGTCTTTTATACATTGAAGCCAGGAAGGATTGTCAAATAGTTCTTCTGTTGTTAATAACCAATTAAGACTGTCTAGAGATCCCTCTAGATTGTGTTTGACTCTCCAGATGGCATCGTCAAGCTGTTCTTCTAATGATCCATGGGTGAACATGAATGTCTTACTAGRCCCTGATATTAAGAAAGAAAAATTAAATTCTAGTTTAATCAAATAACAAAACAAGTATTATCAGTAATTAGATTATTTTCCTATTGATCTATGTCAGTGCGCATGCAGCTATAAACCTAAAGATCAAATTGGAATTTAGTTATTATTGATAGACCTTGTTATCTTACCAACCATTAAACAAAGAAATTATACTTTAGCAAATGACACAACGTCTAAAAAGGGAAAAAGTTTTACCCAAGGTAAAGAAGTCCATTATGTTTTGCGGAGGAAAGAAAACTGTATAACCCAGAGAAACTTTCTTAAATGAAGAGAAAGTAACCTAACAAACTAAGTGTAGGAATCAAATGCAAGACCTCAGAGGTGAGAGGGGAATGCACTATGACTACATACTACACTCTTAAGGGTTAGAGGACCATCCAATATAATTATTATGCACAGAAACTAACCTGACATATCAATTTGTTCATTTTCAAGACTGTTAAGATCAATGCCGTCAGACATAAATCCCTTCTGTTGATTACACAACCACTCACTCTCAGAAGTGGCTGCATTTGCATCAATATACACAGCTAGTCCATTGTAAAATAACCACATTCTTGAATCTTGTGAAGCATTGAATGTAGTAGCATTGATGATAAAACCAAGAACACCATATAGTTTTAATATCCACTGGTGTAGTGGATGCCACAAGGCACTGTCCATCTGTCCTATATCACATTTATTGTCTGTTGTCCAGTTACATATMTCCTTCCATTGATCTGTAAATAATTTCATCAAAACCTTCAAACAATACAAGACATTGGAGTCTGTACACCAGCAAGTCAACTCATTGTCAGCTGATCTTGAGCCATGCTTGTCTTCTATGGTACTGTCAATGTGAACAACTGAGTCTGACTTAACCTCTTCACCACTAACAACCAACCTCTTTCTTTCCATTTCAATTTGATTGACTGAGCAAGTATTTGAATGTTCTTTCATATGACATTGAAACCCTTGAAAGACAAAATCTATCAACCTTTTTATGACATGAAGTTGTTGATTCTTGTCAGTGATATATTCACACAGTGATGTCAAGCCTTCCAAAAGTACCTGAACCAAAGTGGAACAGTTTGTGTGACAAYTTTGCTTTGATGTAAAACTGGGTAGTAAGCAGTCAAACAACAAAGTAAAGAAACCACTGTCTTGGAAAGAAACGGTAGTGGCCACRATATCTTGTAGAACAAATGGTAAAACCTCTTCATGTGTATTGATTAAACACTGAAAAAGAGTTTGGAATAGAGATAATTATTTATAATTTAATCATTAATTAGCTTGATAAAAATAAATGTCTTGTGGCGCATGTGACATCATTGCTGCCATTTTGGTTGACTTTGACAAAACATTCGGCGTTGGTGCCTTTTGTCATGTAAACCATCATCTTTTGTCTTATATTCTCCTGCGAAGGGATGCACACCACCAATACAGTACTATTAACCCCTTTTGAAAGTAGTCAAACCAAGAGCCTTCTAATTAACCTCTGAGGGATTGAAGTGCTACCCTGTTAGTGCATCAAGTTATGGAATAAGTGGGTCAATAAAGGATGGTTTTATGTTTAACTATCGTCTCCTACCATGTACAAACCCCATTTACATCATCTATCTTTTAATAATTTTCTTAAGGCAATGAATATCACAGTGAAGTAGAATATGAAGCTATAATTTTTYACCTCAGCAAGTAACAATTCCCAGCCCATTTCTTCCACAATCAAGACATATAAACCTGTGCCAAACTTTGGTAGGGCTGGAAAACWTTCCAGAAAGCCTGCATCAGTACTGTTGGAGGAACGACAATTGCGCCATGCCTTGTACAGCCAAAGATGGATTTTTCGATGAAGAGCATAGGTTTCTATAGGTAGTACTGTATTTTTTGCTTTTGTGATAGATAATCCTTCRGATATTTCATTAATGGCTCCTTGGATGATCTTCACAACTGCAACAAATTCGTGTTTCTGAAGGCTTTGCTCAAGATTCATCATTTTTCCTGCAAGCAAGAAGGCTGACTGTATGATAACAGTTTCTTGGCAGTACTCCATACCTAAATATTTTATTCTATTCATCTTATATTTTGCAAACTTCTAACTGCACAACCACTATTTCGTCYACCATCTTGTTTGAGAGGAAACACGATGTACTGGGAACTAACACTGTGGGATCCCTGTGGAAACTGTGCCGTCATTTCCGGTATCTTATATATTCAGTYATTCCTGTCATTCCTGCATTTGCTGTTTGAACAGGAAGTTGTGTTTGCCTAATCTTACCTGAAGAGAAATAGAACCTCCAGAGCTCAGGATACAGAATCAAGATTTACCTTGCAAATTCATTGCAATCCAAATTTTCACCCCACAATTTTTGCTAATTAGCTAAGCAAAGAGGGTAGCAAGGGATTCTGGTAGTGGTAGTACATGATGCTATGATGTAAATAGCCTATAGAATACTCTGGTTGACAACACATAGTACAAGGGTGTAGTTGGATGGGGGGGGGGGGCGAGGGGCATGGTGGCTTTTTGGAATTTATATTTGGTAATTTTCATTTGCTTTGCTAAGCTTTGCAAAATCAAAGCGTAAAACACAGAGCCCTTTTTTTTGGTTTGGCATTTCAAGGGGCCCACACAAAATGGCAGATTTTTGAATTTCAGCCCCCCCTTCCCCTTTCAAAAAATTCTGGCTACGCCCCTGTAATAGGCAGTGACATTCATTCAGCTAAATGATACTAAGCAAAAATAATACTGGTACCTATTGCTTCAGCAAAAAAAGACACAAAACTGTGGCATCAASTTTTATTTACAATACATATACACTGTAATGTACTACAAGTTTTGTGACAATCTATTTGCATTTATATGAAACGTTAAATATCTAAAATTATGTTAATGCTATTTAATGATATGGTGATGAATAAAATGCTTCTTCTAATCCATACAGCGTGATAGCAATGTCTTCTTTTAGATTCATCAACTGCTTATCTGTATGCTGTTGCATGTTCGATAGTCTTGTTGTTCTCTCTGAGATACTTTCATTCACAGATGGAAAGTCATTCAAGATCAGAAATTCTTTGATGTCTGAGACAAGTTTCATTAATGATTCTCCAGCTCTGACCTAAAGATATAATTATACCAAGTTGTCAAGTTATCAAATAATAAGTTTCCTAAAAAAGCTTTATTATACTACCATTACCAGAATTCCTTTCACACTTTATTTTGCCCAGTTTGTTAGAGCCTATTATCTTATTATTTTCATRAAGAAATGAAAATTTAATAAGAAAGAAGATTATCAAAGCATATTTCTGGTAACTGTAGTGAAAATATGCCATCAAACAATCGAACACTCACTATGTTTGCAGCTCTAACATTGCATTCATACTGATCTTGTACCACTTGTGTTACACAAGACACTTGCGATTCATCTTCAACCTGTTAAATATCGAAATGATCATTGCATTTTTGTGCATGTTTAGGACGTCTAGCAGGGTTGATAATTTATAAATGAGCGCCTTTGCCTACCTTGGAACATTTTAATATTTCAGTAAAATTATCAAGAATGGACTTCACATCATCCTTTAGCCTTTTAGTGTATGATTTTAACAGAGTTTCTTTGCTTTGAGGCAAAGATCTTGCTTGAGACATATTTTAACAATACTCTTAACACTTTACACCGCGTCCGCCATCTTGAATATCCGCTGGCTGTGATGCATTATGGGATAGTATTCAATTTCCCACAGTGCAAAGCGCGACTTGTCCTCTTCGTCGCCATCTGTAAAAATGGTAAGAACTAAGAGAGAAATATGTGAACTTCATCCAGTTATATCTCGTTCATCGCCTTATTTCGCAAAATATTTTAGTACTCATTTGAAATAAAGATGTTAAAACTTTCCCATCAGTATGTCATTTTGACCGCAAAATCTTTAGACAAGCTGTACTTTTTCACTGATTTGAGTGTTATGGTTATCACGTTAGGATTCACCCAAATCTCGCTAGTGTATTAATGTCTTTGTATTTTATTGCATGTTATATTTTAAGACTTTAGTGTTGAACTCTTGATGTCTGTGGTGAAAGCTTTCATAAGCTTTATTATCATTTCCTTCAATAATCTTTGTGTATATATGGATATATGTTTGTCCCTAATGTGCTGGCTTGTAAACTTTAATAGCTAGTTAGCCCGTTATATCCAATCAATATTAGTATATTGATTGTATATATTGCCTTTATTTCAGCCTAAAACTAAGAGGGTCAAGGTTAAGAAGGTGGCCCCTGCTCCTTATGCAGCAGCCAAGCCAGTACCCAAGAAGACTGTCAATCCACTAATCGAAAAGAGACCAAAGAACTTTGGTATTGGTATGTATGACTTACAATATCAGATAATATCAATATCAATAGCTATAATTAGTCTTTGTGTAGATATGACCCTTTAGCACTAATGCTATAGTATATTTTAATGCATACTACCTACAGCTCACAGCACATGTTGAGACTTATGGAGATAGAAAAACAGATAACCATTGTTGGTGCATAATATCAATTCTGTGGTCATTGATCTTTTACCATTTCCCAGTCTTTTTTGAATAATACTTTATTCTTAAACACAATAAGGGCAATGATGCTGGTAATGCTTAAGTAAAGAACTGTGTGAATTTATGATTATACAATAAGTAGTATTTGATAAGATTTCAAAATTATCAATACGTAGGTGGTGACATTCAGCCAAAAAGGAATCTTGGAAGGTTTGTTAGATGGCCAAAATATGTCAGACTCCAGCGACAAAAAGCCCTTCTTTACCAGCGTTTGAAGGTTCCTCCAGCAATCAACCAGTTTGCGCAGACATTGGACAGACAGGCTGGTAAGAACAAGGGTTGTTTTCTTCATACAATTTGATACTGCAGGGCCATTGAAAAACTGGTATTTGTACATTATCCATGGTAATTGTGGGTTTTCACATGACGTCATCAAAACGTCAAAATCTAAACTATAGATCGTATAAAGGCATTTCTCAAGTATGTTTTAGAAATCAGTGTTATAAGTCACAAGAAAAAATCTCGAGTCATTTCGATGTTTGGTTCCCGAGTTATGAAGGTTGAGTTTGTGTCACACAATACCGTCACGTCTAGCTAAATAGTGATGAAAATATTAAGATAATCTACTGTAGTTGAAAGATTTTCCATTAAACATATTTAAAATATCTATTTAATTATATTTAAGTGAAATATAGTCAAACACATTAAACATTCCATCATTTTAAGCCTTTGGAGTTTCGTCCGCCATGATGGTGTACCAACTTGGAACACCAAGATGGCTGCTCCATACATTTAAACCAACAATTGCCTCATGTTTACTTGCCCATAGTTCCACAACCAAATGCTTTACAGCCWTAAAATTTGGCCAGAATATGTAGTTTGGACCGCTTTACAAGATTATGAAACTTGTATTTCATGATAAATCGAATTTACGCTTTTGAAATTCAAGATGATGTAGGTGAAAATCAAGAATAGTTTATAAAGCTGTGGGGGATAAAGGGTAGTGGTAGCGCACTTGCCTCAGATTTGTAGTCTCAGGTTAGATTCCTGGACTCAGCATCCATGTGAGAGGTTATTGGGTCGCTCCCTTGATACATGTATTTTTCTCTGGAAACTTCAATTTTTTATTCCTTTGCAAAACCCAATTTGATTTTGGTCTGTGGGCTACTCATGCCCTGACTTATGGTAGCGAAGGCCTAAGGTCATTGTAGGATTTGATGCAATTGATGTTTTAGTATGAAGTTTTTTACATTTATTTTGTGCAATAAGATGACATTTTTCCTTTCAGCCACCCAGTTATTTAAGCTTCTGCACAAGTACCGTCCTGAGACAAAGGCGGAAAAGAAAGTCAGGCTCACGGCCAAAGCTGAACAAAAAGCTGAAGGCAAAGATGAAGCTTCTGGCAAGAAACCAGTTGTAGTAAAGTATGGTATCAACCATATCACTGGTCTAGTTGAGAGCAAGAAGGCACAGTTGGTAGTCATTGCACATGATGTTGACCCAATTGAGGTGAATATATTAAGGTTATTCTGTAACACTGTAAAACATTCTATACACCTATTTGTTGTGTACCATAAGTTATGCTAGATTAAATTTCAGCATTGCGATATGAGAACTTTGGATATGTTGTTTCTAGATTGTTGTATGGCTTCCAGCCCTTTGCAGAAAGATGAATGTGCCATATTGTATTGTGAAGAGCAAAGCAAGGTTAGTAAACCACCAGATTTACTCTCCATTATAATAATCATAACATGACCAACTCAGCCAAGATATTTGGGTTTTAAGCTTCTGTTGATCTAAATAATTACTACCCCAAACAAAACCACCCAACTCCTTGAAAATTCTTGAATAAGAATGGGTTTAAAGGACTAAGTCGGTATTAGTATGTAATGTTTAATAAATGAGCAGGAGCGTTTTATCTGCTATAAAACATGAGGCGTAGGCGAGTGGTTTTAGACCCGATAAAACATGATCTGCGAGTTTATTGAACGGCTTAAAAAACTCATGTTTGTTCTCATATTGTACTGAATTCTTTACGAAATGAACCAAGTTTGATAGAGAAAATCCAAGTTAAAGTTTATGCAAATGAAGACAAATCAATATCAGATATAAAACCTCCTTCATGGTCATGATTTTTATTGTTTCCTTCATGGATCATTAATGAGTTTTTAAAAGGTTGACGAAATACTCATTTGATTCCATTTAATGAAAGAATCAAATCAATGTCATACTATCTATTAAGTAGGAAAAAATGTCCAGAGTTTAAACTTKTTTATTTTGTTGTTTTTTTAAGGTTGGGAAAGGTTGTGTACAAGAAAACTGCCACTGCTCTCTGCTTTACTGGTGTCCGTCCAGAGGACAAACACTCCCTAAACAACCTGATAGAGTCTGTCAAGACTAATTATAACGATCRTTTTGATGAGATCAGAAAACACTGGGGAGGTGGAATCATGGGTCCCAAGTCTTTGGCTGCTACTGCTAAGATCGAGAAGGCCAAGCTCAAGGAAATGAAAGTGTAGACATGAAAATAATTGTGCTGAGAAATAAAATCAGAATAACCTTTCTTTGCAGTTGTTGCTTTACCTTAGTTATATAGTGTGAACCCATATCATGAGAATAAAAGAAAAGGACATGACCGCCATGTTGGTTTAAAATAATAGAAGAAACCAAGATAGCTATGATGTCACATGCACAATGACAAAAGGCATGACCACCATGTTGGTAGACAGAAATGGACTAAATCTTTTATTCCAGTGATGCCTTATGGTGGCTATGACATACAGTCCTTTGACTAAATGTTGCCGTTTGATCGGCTTCATCCCTACGCGCCTAGACCCAAAAGGATCATGGGGATAAATAATTCACAGTTCCTAGCTGCCGCATGTGTTATCTAACATTTCTTGAGCTCGCTGTTTTCGATCCCTTTTAATTTGCGAAAACCATGCCTCAAGCATGCAGCGAAGATTAAAACTGGCGAGCAGTTTGGATGACGCAAGTTCTGGGTAATTTACCCATTATCCTTTTCAGTCTAGGCGCGTAGCGATGATCCGATAAATGACGACGTGTGTCTAAAGAAATTGACATCCCACATGGAATGGAGCGAGTATGCATTCAAAGCCATCGGTATGCTGGTCATAGCAAGGGTTTAATCATCTACGGTCTAGGAGCCGACTTAGGCTTAGGCTTCGGCAGAGCTTCCTGATCAGTCTGTAATTCCTCCCTGGGATAGCGGTGTTGAGGTCRAAATCTCTGGCGTAGCCGTAAATGCTTTGCACTGCCATACGACGGTTCAACTCGACGTCTGGAAGTATGGTTAATAATCAATCAATAGAAACTTAAATAATCCAAAATCTAGTCTCTTATTTGATGAATATCAATTTGGAGAGGACAGGTAATAATCCCGAGTGTGCAGACACATTCCAGTCGCTCCACGTAGTGTTCTTTAAACCACACCATGTCTTTATCAAGTTAGAAAAATTATAAATTCTAGCCAAGTTCTAAGAAAATGGCTTTTTGGTTTTCAGAAACCTCATTTATGAGAGTGAGAATAAATAATCCCTTAACCCCAGGGTATGGAGTTAAATTGGAATGATTTGTTGCAAACAGTGTTTAACATAATGTGTAATTAAATGAAATTGATAACCAGGCACAATAATTATTATGTTGTGCTATGATATGCTTTATGTTTGAAAATTTTGCAGGGATGAGTAAATAATTTGTCGAAAATTTGCCAAAGATTTATGGTTTGCATTCTTGTTACATTAAATAAAACACTTTGTTACACATTGCTTTTAACAATTTTATTTCAACAAATGTAATAATTTGATCTTGGTCTTGCTTGATTACRCAGCAGTCTTGCATTAGTTGTTGTCATTGGCTTCTGTAACACAAAACAAAAGTTAATGAAAAGGACCAAATGCCTGATACCACATTTTTAAAACAACACCAAAGGCCTCAGTTATGGTTCTTCATCATTATGAGCTTCAAGAGTAGCAAATATTTTTTAGTCATCATTGACCCTTACATTGAAAAGAAAAAAAGAAAAAAAAAATATTGAATACCTTCATGACAAACCCTGCAAAGTGGAAACTGTCCTAGGTGCTTCTTCACAAACTATAATGAAAGAATCTCAGATCAACAGCAGATATAGATAATGCAACTCAAATCCCAAACAATGGTCATACATCAGATGTTATATTCCAGTATTTTCTGAATCATGTTACTTATAGGAATCATATGTCCCTAACTGATATTCATCATCGTATGGTATCATTAAATATTATATTATTATAATCATATCAAAAACACTTACGACTGTTTCTGGCCACTATGGGTTAAATTATTTCTTTAGCATGTTCCCCTGTAAAATGAAAACATAATTTCAAAACACGCAATAGGAATTTTACATTGCAAAGGACTTATGGTAGTGGTATCAGTAATGTTTGAAGTTAGCTTCATTATATTTCAGATGAACTATGCTTTATAAATACATCATGTACCACAGCACTTGTACATTCAAGTAACATGTTTCAACTTATATTTCAATATTCAACTCATGCAATAGAGGTTTCTGTAACATTCAGAATAAAATAAAGTTAGATAATGTTATGGTTGAATGCTGTATCTAGAATAACTTTAAATAAGTGGTTTCAGTTAGGGGCGAAATTTTGTCATCACTATTGTCAGTGACAATAAATATTTTCTTTAGTCATCACTATTTCCACTGTGCCATTCCAACTTGTACTAAATATTTAAATAATATTCAACTTACATTTCACTGCTCACTTCATGGCAATACAGGTTTCTGTAACATTAAGAATAAAATAAATTTAGAAATCGTAATGGTTGAATGATATCTAGAATAACTTAAAATAAGTGGTTTCAGTTAGGGGCGAAATTTTGTCATCACTAACTATTGTCAGCGACAAGAAATATTTTCTTTAGTCATCACTATTTCCACTGTGCCATTCCAACTTGTACTAAATATTTAAATAATATTCAACTTACATTTCACTGCTCACCTCATGCAATACAGGTTTCTATAACATTAAGAATAAAATAAATTTAGAAATTGCAATGATTGAATGCTGTATCTAGAATAACTTAAAATAAGTGGTTTCAGTTAGGGGGGGAAATTTTATCATCACTATTGTCAGTGACAAGAAATATTTTCTTTAGTCATCATTATTTCCACTTGTACTACATAATAAATATGTTATATGTATAGGAAAGATTACCTTACACTGCAGATCAAAGGGCTGACACAGAGCGAAGTATCCTGCTACTGCCTAAAAAACAAAGTTAAAATAATCAATAAATTGCATTAAAAAAAAACCAATAAGGTCAACATATTGTGCAGTGGTGTCAGTTAGAGCTAATACATAAACTTCATGTATATTCAGAGTGAACTATGCAATGTTCTATCATCATGTACCACTAGCAAAACCAAAATATGCTAAAAAAGACTTTGGCTCACCTTTTAAAACAGATTTCATGTTCTTAGGCAGGAGGCTGTACCCATAAAAAATTGACAACATTAGTCGTTATTAATATAATTTACTTGTGAAACAGAGTAAAAGAATATACGAATATCTCAGCGATCTTGGTGGTATTGCTAATGTTATCATTTCATATCAAATAGCAAATATTATTGATCATCACTGATATCTAGTAAACATGTAGATTTATCATTCCATTATTGTATAGTTAACACCTACCATGATTAATGGTCATGTTATAGAGGTCACCACGAGGCTAGCTGTTATTATCGTTTGTGTTTTTATACCATGATCCATCTTGCCAAAAGAATACTCTGAAAGTAAGCAGTAATGCAATACTTTAGTTTCGCTACTTGAAATAAGAAGAGCAAATCAGAAATGTTTTATCATGCATCAGGCCTATCGATCAACAATCATTATTTTTCATTGCTAATAATGATTTYATCATGTGCATGGGTCATTATTTTCAACTAAATGTCTTCTTTCTGACAGCATTTTTAATGGAGAAGTGGTAKACATTGAATATGCAAATGAGTTAGTTGAAGTAGTTTTTTTAATTTGGTGGATCTCCCTTTTGTTCTTCATTAATATTTAAAAAACATAACTTCTTTTGTTTTCTCCTTTTAGAAAGATAATTTGTGTATGCCATTTATAAGCAAATTTGACAGTATTACATTCTTTTGTCATCCAAAATGGCTGCCGTCACGTGATAAGGTTTACCTCAACATTCTTGGTTAAACTGAACTGCTTAGCCAAATTTCTTGAGAACAAGACCAATGCAATCGATAACAAGATGAATTCTGGAGGAAACATATACAAACACGTTATTACAAGTGCATAATTTATCCAGTAAAGGACGTGCCAGTCCCGGGGCCAGTTCATTTGAAGACGAAATGGTCCAGTGTTGATCAGATACTGCAATCTTTCATAGGATTTACCTCAGAGAGATTCCTATTTGTGTAATTCATCATTTACCCGACCATTTCACCAAAACAATTAAGCTAATCTCTCGTTTTAGAGCTATAAAAGAGGGAAAAGTTCCTACAAGAGATGAATCAAACACGTGGTCCTGCAAGCAAGGTCGCTTGTACAAAGAATTTACAGTTTGTAAGCTTTTTTACACATTATTAACATCAATAAAGTGTATTCAAATGTTTGTATTACTTACAGACATCTCCCAAACTATACTTTCGTTTCTTTATATCAAAGAAAATGGTTTTTTAGACCAAATTTTCAAACTACAAACCTCACTAACCTCAAGACGCCTTCCAACTGATACCACGAGGGGAACCTCGTTTGCATGAATAGAGATTCGGAAAAACGACGACCTTACGAAAATTGGACGAAAGGAGACCGAGGGATCGTCGAAAAGAGCATTTCCGTGCAAACGGTTGATAAAAAAAAATACTAAATTCGTTTTTAAACTTTTAATTTAAGTCAAAGTTACAGTATCTTTACAAGATAAAAATAAGCAATTATCTAATGGTATTTATCGAAGGTATATTTTTGTGTTTTCGCATCGATAATTTCAAACATAGCCATTAATTCGATTTAAAGTTCTATATATTAAATAAAATTTATGAAAACAACGGAATTAAAATAGGTGAGTGATCGTGAGATTGCAGAAATCGTGATATAGCTAGGTAGCAAAGGAGTCTCCTTTCATCTCTGTTTTGCTGATTTTAATAACACGTGATAAGAACTAGCTTTTCTTGCTTTGTGCAATAATATCGTAAAGAAAATAATGATTAAAATGAACAGATAGATAATAACGTAATATCCTTGCAATATTTGGGAAATCTTGCACAGTATTATTTGGTGTCGCACTGTCGGCGTGCCACGACATAATTTAATTGTCCCGGAACATTCGGGATAAAGTCGGGATTCTATGATGTAAGAGATTGTCGTGGACCAATCAGATGGAGACACGGGAGAAGGCTGGACCAATCAGCGTGGGCCACGCGTGGAGGTAAAGTGAATATGAATCACTCAGCGTGTTCTATATCAACCAGTGTTTCATTATTCTTACTAGCATTTACTATCTGTATATACTTTACTGAGGAAAAAGGTGTTCGTAGAATTTTTTWAATATAGAATGAAGTGTTTTTCAGTCTTATTTACTGTGGCTTTGGCCACCAGTGTCCTTTTAGTCAAGGGAGAAGAGAAGAAAGAGGAGAAAAAATCCGAAAAGGAGAAAGTAGGAACAGTTATTGGAATTGATTTAGGAACTACATACTCTTGGTGAGTTGGTCGATTTCCTTTTAATGTTTTCAATGTACTTTACAGTTTGCTATGAAATGGTTTTTCTACAGTTCTTTTACGGTATTTTTCATGAGCTTAATGAGTATAGGCTGCGATCAAACTTCATAAAATAGTCGGTGTATCCACTTCACTTTGTAGTTTTGTCAAAGTTTCCCATAAGCTGAAGTATTCATGCTCCTTTTTTCTTTCTTTAGATTTTTATTGCATTATTATTTCTTTATTCAATGTTTTCCCTAAGTTTCTATTTTCTGATTTCCTAACAGTGTCGGTGTGTTCAAGAACGGACGAGTTGAGATCATTGCCAACGACCAGGGTAATCGTATCACTCCATCCTATGTAGCCTTCACCCCTGAGGGAGAAAGACTTATCGGTGATGGTGCAAAGAATCAGCTCACATCCAACCCAGAAAATACCGTATTCGATGTCAAACGTTTAATCGGTCGTAACTGGGATGATCCCTCAGTAAAGCACGATTTGAAATACTTCCCTTTTAAAGTGGTCGAGAAGAACCAGAAACCCCACGTCCAGGTTTCAACCAGTGCTGGCACAAAGACCTTTGCCGCTGAGGAAATCAGTGCTATGGTTTTGGGAAAGATGAAGGTGAATAGATCTTTTTGTTTACATTTGAATTTGAAAGGAGCCATAAATTAAATCTATTTCGTAATTGACGTGTCGTGTATTGTCAGGTTATTGTTTTGATTGCAGGTCAACTTTTGAAGTTCCCTGCTTGTTTATACTGTAATGACTGGTCAAAAACTTGCTAGTGGCTAATGCTAAAAAAACAAAGGCTCTGACCTGTATATTAATCTGTTTCTTTGTTGCATTTAATAGGAAACAGCTGAAGCCTACCTTGGAAAGAAAGTCACCCATGCTGTAGTAACCGTACCTGCTTACTTCAATGATGCTCAGAGACAAGCCACCAAAGATGCCGGTGTCATTGCTGGTCTTAATGTTATGCGTATCATCAATGAGCCAACTGCTGCAGCTATTGCATATGGAATGGACAAGAAGGAAGGAGAGAAGAACATCCTTGTCTTTGACCTGGGTGGTGGTACCTTTGATGTTTCTCTTCTCACCATCGACAATGGCGTATTTGAAGTGGTTGCAACTAATGGAGACACCCATCTTGGTAAGTTCATTAAGTATGATGCTTGGTTAATCTATTGGAGGGTTTATTTCTTTTCTAGTAGTGCTAGCTTACTGGGAATAATTGGTTAATTTGTTTACTTTTTTCAAATTTTAGGTGGTGAAGATTTTGACCAAAGAGTAATGGAGCATTTCATTAAGCTGTACAAGAAAAAGAAAGGCAAGGACATTCGCAAGGACAACAGAGCTGTTCAAAAGCTTCGTCGTGAGGTTGAAAAGGCAAAGAGAGCCCTTAGTGCACAGCATCAGGCCAGGATTGAAATTGAATCATTCTTCGAGGGAGAAGACTTCTCTGAGATGCTTACAAGAGCACGTTTTGAAGAACTCAACATGGTAAGTCAGTCATGAAATAAATCAATGAACAATGCACACAAAAATCATAATCAAAAATCAYAATATGCAGTAACCACTTCCATGCATAGTTGATGATGGTAGACTTAAGTTTTAATTTTTTTTAATTATTTGTAACAACTTAGTAATTTGACTTGATATGATACTAATATATTAATCTTTTTAACATTTATAGGACCTTTTCAAATCCACACTTAAACCAGTAAAGAAGGTTCTTGAAGATGCTGATCTTAAGAAAAATGAGATCCATGAGATAGTGCTAGTTGGTGGTTCCACTCGCATTCCAAAGGTCCAACAACTTGTCAAGGATTTCTTTAATGGCAAAGAACCAAGCAGAGGAATCAACCCTGATGAAGCTGTGGCATTTGGTGCTGCTGTCCAAGCTGGTGTTCTTGGTGGTGAAGAAGATACTGGTGAAGTTGTTCTTTTGGATGTCAACCCACTTACTATGGGTATTGAGACAGTCGGTGGTGTCATGACTAAGCTCATTTCTCGTAACACTGTCATTCCAACCAAGAAGTCTCAGATCTTCTCCACTGCTGCCGATAACCAGAACACAGTCACTATTCAAGTGTTTGAAGGGGAACGACCAATGACAAAAGACAACCATCTTCTTGGCAAGTTTGACTTGAATGGAATTCCTCCAGCACCACGTGGTGTACCCCAGATTGAAGTTACCTTTGAAATTGATGTAAATGGTATTTTGCGTGTATCTGCCGAGGACAAGGGTACTGGTAACAAAGAGAAGATCACCATCACCAACGACCAAAACCGTCTCACGCCAGAGGATATTGAACGTATGGTTAACGACGCTGAGAAATTTGCTGATGAAGACAAGGCTGTAAAAGAACGTGTTGAAGCCAAGAATGAACTAGAAAGCTATGCTTACTCACTGAAAAACCAAGTTGGAGATAAAGAAAAGTTGGGAGGAAAGCTGTCTGAAGAAGATAAGAAAACAATTACAGATGCTGTAGAAAAAACAATTGCATGGATGGACAAGAATCACGAAGCTTCAACTGAAGATATGAAAAAACAGAAGAAAGAACTTGAGGATGTTGTACAGCCAATTGTTAGTAAATTATACCAAGGTGCTGGAGGCCAACCAGGAGGAGAGGGTGGTGCACCACCTCCAGAAGACAAACCAACAGAAGACAAAGATGAGTTGTAAAGACTGTAAATTAATAGGAACAATACAGACAATCAAGAGGAAGGTCCTCTTCTCTATCATGCAGTACTAGTGTTCTGTAATGATACAATATTGTTGCAGGAAGATGATGTGCCTAAATGCTTAACACTCTCCTGACACCAAAATATTGTGATTCTGAGAAAACACATTTTACATTCTTACGAAAATGTTTTTGTAATAGCGTTAATTACTATTCCTTACTACCCTGCCCTGCTGCACTCAGTGAATTTTGTCAAAAATAAAAGTTATTTATCGTTAGTCCTTGTCTTTTGGATCAAGGACGATGCAAGGTTTTTCTCTAATAAAAAAAWTTAAATTTAAGTTTTGTCCATGTGTTCATTTCAGAGATGATGTGACTATTGGATTTTACTTTGCAAATCAGAATCCAAAAAAATTGAATAATCTAAATTTTCCTTTCAAATTTAATTTTCATCCTCTGCTGCTCTGACAGTTTATTTCTTGCATTTTGTATATGATAAAAAAGCAATATACAATGTGACCCTATATATTCTGAATAAATACTTGTACACATCCAAGATTAGTATAGTTAACTTACACTCCTTTTCTTTAAAGTTTGACCTGCTCTTCAAAAAGTTGAGATTTAGCCCTCTTTCAATCGGACTGTTATCTACCAGTTTTGTCTGTAATCACAGAGTGGAACAATCACGAACGGAACCACAGATCCATGCTGTGGTTCCRTTCGTGATTGTCCCACTCTGTGATTACAGACAAAACTGGTAGATAACAGTCCGATTGAAAGGGGGCTAAATCTCCATTCCTAAGGCCACATTCAACTCAGAATAATTTTCTCCCTATGAATAAAGTTTTTATTTTATATTTGAACGGTTTGAATGGCAGGCAACTAAAWAATACTTTTTGTCTGTTGCAATATATGAGCGGGTCGCACTTCGATGAAAGAGTGTAATTTTTTATGAGTAAAGGCTTCAAGAAATTCACTCTTTTTTTGCACCAGGMTAAAAAGGCATGAAAAAGTATGACCTCTGTCTATGAACAAGTATTTTAAACTATAACAACCATAGCTATACATGTCTGTTAAATTATAATRTATCATACAGTAATGTACAGTAAACTGTAAATACATAGGCTACTTGTGTGCCATCGTGATGCCCAGAAAAAAGTGAAATGCATGGTAAGAACTATTTGTATCTTTATAACATCTTTGCAGAGCTTTCTTGTGCAACMCAGAAATTTTCTCAGATGTGCTAATTAGTGTGGAAGTATCAATGTTCCCCCACAAAAGTGTCAAGGTTTCATTTGTCATCAATTACTGAATGAAATGAGAAGAATGAAACATATAAGATGTCTAAACTTTCTTACTAAACTGCCCAACTAATTTACAATCTTTGTGGTTTTCATAATATGTTATACATGTATGTAATGCAAGAATAAGCCAGGTTTTTCRTGCCCTACACCAGTTCAAGCACCTAAAATAGAGAATAAAAAGTTTTATCAGAAAGGCAAAAGAAAACATTTACAGTGTTTTCATGGATAAAACTAACTAATTATGAGTAATTACCTTGATAATTCCTTGGCTATTTGCTGCAACAATAACATTGGAGCCCTAGAAATAAGTCAGATAATGAAAACTTAGGGCAAAAAGTCAAATTGAAACAATACATGATTATCAATGTGGGATGAGCGGAAATGACTGGCTTGTAATCCCGCAATGAATTTGTGTAGTGAAATGAATTAAGGACATCAGAACAAGATTTAATGATGGATAAAATATTGGTTGACAAATGAAGTAAAACAAAGAGAAAAACATTAATACCGTTCTCCAGCAAACMGCACTAACAAATTCATTAGCATCATCTTCTTTCTTGTCCTTTTCCTGTTGATAAAGCAAAATTTCGAATTTTTCAATGGATTTTAACAAATACTGGCTACTATACATCAAGTACTATAAGGAAGAGGAGAAGGGGGGGGGGGGKGGAGGGAGGGGGGATTAGGTAGTGGAATTATAGCATTATCGCTTTGTTGATAAAATCAAACATAGGTGAAATGGCAACAATGGCTTAAGCCTTGTTCTTGGCCTGTTCTGCACATCAACTTCATAGGGTGCTCTACAGTCCTGCACATTTGTTGYTTTTGAAAGCAAGTTAGAAAATGCTTGCAATAAACACAAAAAAAAGGCTTGCAAGGGAACCTTACCAGCACACTTCGCACAGTGTCAAACTTGAATGTAAGAAGCTGTTTTGATAGTCCTTTATAGTATAAGTATAATGAGTTGTTTTCACTTCCTGTGAAGAATATCCCAAGGCATACAGTACAGTTAAATAGAATAGATTCATTGGAATCAAGRGTGGTGAGGAGGTAGCACACTTGTCTCTCACTTACTGGGGTCTCGGGTTCAATACCTGGACTCGGCATCACATGTGGGTAGAGTTTGTTAGGTCTCTCCCTCAATTCAAGGGTTTTTCTCCTGGGTCTAAATTGTTTGATTCCTTGACTCAGCATCACATGTGAGTAGAGTTTTTTAGGTCTCTCCCTCGATTCTAGTTTTTTTCAATGTTCACCAACATTACTACCTAAACAAAACCTAAGCCAAGAGGTTTTTTCAGGGTATTGATAAGATTAAAATTGAAGGTCTAACTACTAACCGCAGGCCACATAATCTCCATTTGATGCCAATCCAACAAAGTTCTTCTCGTTGATATGTCCCTTAAATGTCCTTAAACAATGGGGCTTGTTAATATTCCAAAGTTTAAGTTGGCTATCAGTTGAACTAAAATAAAATAAAAGATGCCTTGTTTTGATGAACATGTTCAGTGTAATAAATTATGATCATAATTATACATGTATGTAGGAGTATTGGAAAAATACTTACGCAGATACAATTTCAGAAGAGTTGATAAACTTTGTATAAGAGACAGCCTTTCTATGGCCCTTGAATACTGTTATTGGCTTAGATGTGTTYCTCAGRTCATAATAATGAACACAATGATCTGAGGAGAAGAAAATATTGATACTATAATWACACTGWTATAAAAGTTACCAGCTCTAACAAGATTGCTTGATAACAGCAGCAACAACAACAACTACAACAGCAGTAGCAATAGCAATGATACCTGCCGAACCAAATGATAAGTGATATCTGCTCTCTGGGTTAAACTTCACACAGCAAACATTAGCTTTTGCTTCCAAGCAAGAAACAGAATGTTCCATGTTGGTTGACCATAACTTGACTACAAACAAAAACATGACAGTCTTAATCATTATACATGGCATGTGCTCAAACACATGCATAAGACAGGGCTAAAAACAACAGGTGGTCAGTCACTAGCCATGACGACCAGCCAAATTAGTTTTAGCTCAGTTATACTTCCTTTATTCAAGCTCAATGTTACTGGTAATGACCGAATAGGCAAAGATTGGACTGGACAAGTTCGAATTCTGGCCATATATTGTCCAATGACAGATTGTTATTTTTAGTCCTGGCACGGCTTTTCATACATGCGTGAGTAAARTATGTCTTATTGCACTTGCTTTACCTTTAGCATCATCTGATCCTGATGCGAGCAGCTTTGGGTCCACATG